GTAAACAGGAGGATTACAACGAGGCCAATCTACACGGTGAAACCTTGTATACTGTGTGCACCTTGTCCTAAAATACAAAACAGAAAATAAAAGCTCAAATTATTGTTTCTGTTATAAATTCAGTATTGAATTTTCTACAAATTGAACAGACGAATTTGATGTTGATTTTCAAATCTCTTAAATTTTCAGATTTCAACAAAAATCATTTAAAGGCCAGGTACTATTAAAAAAATAAAAAAAAATAAGAAAAAAAAGAAAATCATTGCAAAAAGATAATATGCCTTTTCCAGGAAGAGGTATCATAGCCTATTCTGACTATCTTGGTAAAAGTAGGTTTCCTTTCTAGGAATCTTGTACCTTTCAGGGCAGAAATCCTCATGGTTTTCCCAGTATCCTGGGTCATGGTGAAGTACAAATGTTGGTATCAAGACAATTGTCCCTTTGGGGATGAACAATCCTTTAATTTCAATATCTTTTTTACAGACCCTTGAGAATCTGCTAGCAATTGGACGTAACCTGAGAGTCTCATTCACCACCATGTCCAGGTAGTCCATCTCTGCCAGAATATTATAGGTAGGTAATGCCTAAGAATAAAAAAATACATTTGAGAAATTCAGATTTTTAAAATTTACCTTCCACCATTCACCTCCTTTTCTTTCTCCTCTTCCCTCTTTCTTCTCCTTTTGCTATTTATCCTTATCTTTCTTCTTGTTTCCGTTTCTTCCCTCTTCTGATTCTCCCTCGTCTAGATTTTTCTTCTTTCTTCTTTTATTCCTCCCTTTCATCATTCCCTGCTCCTACTCTTCTTCCTTCTCATTTTCTTCCTCCTCCTTCTTATCTGACTTCATTGCAGGCCCTAATGATTACTTTCACTGTGGAAATTTGGTACACATTTATAACACATCTTAATGCTTTCTGATCTTGGCCTCACCATCTCTTGTCCATCTCTCTGGATCCCCTTCACATTTGAGCCAGATTTCTTTTCACACTTCCTATAGTTTGTCTTTTAATTTGCTCTTTAGTCATATTTTGGGCTTCATGTACAAATGTGATATCTAAGCTTGTGTGTCTTATTTAATTTAGCATTATATTCTCATGGACAATCTATTTTCCTCTAAATATCTCAAGGTCATACTTTTCATGGCAGATTAATACATATAAATGTCATAATGTTAACCACATGCTGCACCAGCCCCACCCAGAGAGGCACACTGAGTCAGCGAAGGAGACCAGTCATGGTGGCTCATGCCTATATTACCAGCTCTGGGGAGTCTGAATACAAGAAGATCACAACAAATTAGAGCTCTGCATTGAGAGGATGTACCAAATATATAATAGACAAATAAATAAATAAATAAATAAATAAATTTTATTTTATTTTTAAACATTTTTTCTAATTTTACATTCATTACTTTATTTGCATATAAAAACCTTGTCAGGGAAATTAATTCCTTCTTATAGACATCAAAGCAAAAGTGCATCTTTCAGGGAATTAAAAAGCAATAAAGGAATCATTTAAAAGTCAAGTTATTTTCCTACATTTAAAAAAAGTATCAGTTATTTAATTAGGTTCTTAGTAAGAAATTTAGAACACTAATTTATGAAACTAAATTCATTTGCAAGAACAAAAATGGATCACAGATAGCCCTGGACCTGAGGAACGCTTTGATTTTTGATAAAATCTGTGAGTCCACCATTTTCTGATCCACCTTGCACTGCTCTGAAATCTGGTGTCTTTCTTGGTGTCGAAGACCTGATCCTCCTGGTGTCTGGACTTCCATACCTGTTCTTTTTATTTTATTTTTTACATAAATTTATTGAGAAACAAATACCAATGAGAAAGTTTCAAATTGGTAGGACAGTTTCAATAATTAACACATTGCATACATTCTTCCTAGTGGTTCATTGTTGCACAAGAAGAAGATATGATATCCTATTTACCATTAGAACAAATCTCTCTATTCATTAAGAGAATATAACTATATATCTATTCTAACTATTTTGAATACAAAGATACAAAATGGACATTCATCCGTATCCTCTATTTTTGTTAAGTTCTGTTGTATGAATATTATAGGTGTGTTAACTCAGCAAAATATTCTAAAAGAGTCCAGTAGTCCAAAATAGTATTGGGTCTTCTACTTCACTGGGAATGTCAGAAATTGTTCACCTGAGTCCCCTACAGCTCAGTATAACAGCATGCCTTTACTTATACTTCGTTTATATACATTTATGCTGGATGGTAAAGACCAAGGTAGAGCAGGACTTATGCAACAAGAATTGTAGGATTGGGGCCTGATAAGGTCAGTGAAATCCCCTCAGGATTTATCCTGAGATTCTGTACCTCAGATTGTTGAACCTTTGCCAGTGTCAGCCATGTGGATGAGTCACAGCCATTGCTTGGCCAATGTGCTCTCTGTGAAAGCCTGAGAGAATGTTTTCTCTCCACGTGACTCTCCTTAGGCACACTCCATATCATTGATCACTTCCCTCTTCGGCCCCATAATCTCCTTGATCAGAAAATTTGGAACACTACCAAGTTACATGATGTTACACTACAAGTTCTCATATGTCCTTTGTCTTAATTGACCTTGGAAAGCTAGAGCCAAAATGTTGGCTTTCATTGCGGTCCTCCTTTTTCTCTGCAAATAAGTTTTCAGTCTGCAAACTTATGGTGTTAACCCTCCGAAGAAAAGCTATTTATTACTACCATACAACCTAGACTGTTAAGCTTAAACTCATTGTCTGTCTGAATATCAAACATCTTAGGCACAACATGGAACAGGTATTTTTCATCAAGTGTTGAAATGTTGAACTTTAAGTCCCTACAGAATATGACAAAAAACACTTGAAAATTAGAACATATTTTAGAAAATAGGAATAAAGAATTACATGATTCTTATGTTTACACATAAGTCCAAAAATCTAACCATATAAATCTTGAAGCAGGACTGTCCCACAACATTCCTTTTCCTGTCTCTCACCTTCATTAACCACCCACTTTTTTTTGAACAATCATCTACCCGAGAGATAGCACAGCAACATCAGGCATGTCATGAGAAGAAGCCCGTATTCAGAAGATCAGAATGACAGGCACTCCAAGCATGAAACTACTATTACAAATTACCACCTTCAGTGCAGTTGCTTAGTTGACAGATATCAGTATATATAGTTAGTCAGGGTGAGAATCTTTAAAATTAACTGCTAGATTCAAAAATCTTCTGGAGATTCTCAGGATCATTGCCTTGTCCATCTTCGACATATAACTGTATGGTTTGACATTGTCATGTTTTCTAGCTCTTATCCTATATCTCTCTTGATTAGTTAGTCCTCGAGATCCTGCTTTCATTTACTTGTATTATACATTTCCATTTGTATTTATTCTTTTGATTTCTTATACTAGGGAAACTATATGATATTTACACATGTGTTTTGTTCATTTCACTTATGAGTATATCTTCAAGTAGCATCCACTTCAATATAAAGGCTTCGAGTTCATCACACTTTAAAGCTGAATGATACTCCATTGTGTAAAAATTCCACATCGTTTTCAACCATTCCTCACGTGATGGGCATCTTGGTGGTTTCCAAGATTTGGCTATCACAAATTGTGCTGCTATAAACATAGGCACACATATATCACTATGATATGATGTATTCAGTTCGTTCGTGAAAATTCCCAGTAGAAGAATACCTGGTTTAAATGAGACTTCAAGTCCAAATTTCCTAAGGAGTCTCCACACTAATTTCCATAATGGTTGCACCAGTCTACATTCCCACCAGCAGTGGAGAAGGGTTCCTTTTTATCCACAGACTCTCAAAAATTAGTTGTTGGTTGATTTCTTTATGATAGCCATTCTTTCTGGGGTGAGATGATATCTCAAAGTTGTTTGAATTTGCATTTCATGGATGGCTAGTGATGTGGAGCATTTTTTCATATATTTACTTGTTTCTTTAATTTCATCCTTTGAGAAGTGTGCGTTCATCTCTGATGCCCATTTCTGGACTGCGTCCTAAAATTTGTGGCCCTAGTGTTTTTTAGTTCTTTATAAATTCTAGAGAGCAGACTTTTTCTGAGTAATTATTTCTCATGTTTTTTTTCCAAATTTGTGGGCTGCCTTTTCACTTTGTTGGTAATTTCTTTTGATGTGCAAAAACTTCTCAGTAAGAGCAGGTCCCAGTTCCTAAATATTTCAACTGCATCTTGTGTGATTTTATTTTGTTCATGAATTCTTTGCCTACAATTATGTCTTCAAGAGTCCCTCCTACTTTCTCTTCCATGAGATTTAGTGTCTCTGCTTTAATGTTTATATATTTAATCCATTTTGACTTTAGCTTAGTGGATGGTGATAGACCTGAGTCAAGTTTTAGTTTCGGAGTGTAGAGAGCCAGTTTTTCCAACACCATTTGTTAAAGAGGCTATCTATCTTCCAGTGAGTAAGTTTGGACTCTTTGTCAAAGATAAGGTGACTGCGTGTGTTCCTAGAAGTTTCAGTGTCTTCTAATCTATTCCATTGATCCTCAGGTCTATTTTGATGGCAGTATGATGCTGATTTTATCACAGTAGCCTTGTAGTATAACTTCAAGTCAGGAAATGTAAAGCCTCCTGCCTTGTCTTTATTGCACAGGATTGCCTTTGCTATTCTAGGTCTTTCTATTTCCAAATGAATTTTAGGAATGATTTCTCTAAGTCTGGGTGGTATGTTGGTGGTAGTCTGATAGGGATTGCATTAACCCTGTACAGCAATTTTGGGAGTATGGCCATCTCCACAATGTTGGTTCTTTTTATCCAAGAGCACGGAATATCTTCCCATGTTCTGAAATCCTCTACGATCCCTTTTTTTTTTTTAGAGTACTGTAATTTTCTGTGAAAAGATCTTTGGCTTCTTTAGTTAGATGAATTCCAAGGTATCACATTTTCCTCGGTGCTATTTTAAAAGGTATTGTTTCTATAATTTCCATCTCAGTGGCTTTGTTGTCTGTGTAGAGGTATGCTATTGACTTTTGAGTATTGACTTTACAACCTGCTATACTATTGAATTTCTGTATTAATTCCAGTAGCTTCTTGGTGGAGTATTTTGGGTTTTCTCAGTAAAGTATCATGTCATCTGCAAATAAAGATAATTTAACTTCTTTACCTATTCTTATCCTTATTCTAATTCCTTATTCAGTATTTCCCCATTTAGGATTATGTTAGCCATTTGGTTTTCATAAATGGGTTTTACCACAGTGAAGTATAATCCATCCATTCCAATTTTCTGTAGGACTTTGAGCATGAATCAATGTTCGATTTTCTCAAACGCCTTTTCTGCATCAATGGAAATGCTCTTTAGGTTTTTTTATGACTCTATTGATATGGTGTATTATATTTATAGATTTTCGAATATTGAATCATCCTTGCCTTACTGGGATGAATCATACATAGACATGGTGTATGATCTAATTGATGACTTGCTGTATTCTATTTGTTAGGATTTTATTGAGGATTTTGGCATCTAGGTTCATGAGGGAGATGGGCCTGTAGTTCTCTTTCCTAAAGAACTAAAAAGACTAGGACCCCATAATTTAAAGACCCAATCCAGAAATGGGCATCTGAGATGAACACACACTTCTTAGAGGCAGAAATTAAAGAAGTGAATAAATATATGAAAAAATGCTCCACATCACTAGCCATCTGCGAAATGCAAATTAAAACAACACTGAGATACCATCTCACCCCAGAAAGAATGTCTATCATAATGAAATCACCCAGCCACAAATGTTGGAGAGTTGTGTGTAAAAAAGAACCCTTCTCCACTGCTATTGGGAATGTAGACTGGTGCAACCATTAAGGAATTCAGTATGGAGACTCCTTAGAATAATTGGACTTGAAATCCCATTTCAACCAGCTATTCCTCTCCTGGGAACTTTCCCAGAGGATCTGAAAACATCATACCATAGTGATATATGTGTGCCTATGTTTATAGCAGCACAATTTGTGATAGCCATATCTTGGAAACAACCAAGATGCGTATCACCTGAGAAATGGTTATAAAAGGTGTGGTATTTTTATACAATGGAGTATTATTCATCTATTAAGAATGATAAACTCGAAGCCTTTATATTGAAATGGATGCCACTTGAACATATACTCATAAGTGAAATAAACCAGACACACATATTTGAATTTCATATAGTTTCCCTGGTTTAATAGCTCAAAAGAAGTATTTCAAATAGAAAATTATAATACAAGTAAAAGGAAAGCAGGATCTCAAGGACTAACTAATCAAGACAGGGAAAGGAGAAGAGCTAGCAAATATGAATAAGTCAAGCCATACAGTTATGTGTAGCAGATGGGCAAGGCAATGAGCCTGAGAATCTTCAGAAGATTTTTTAATGTAGCAGTTAATTGGAAAGATTCTCACCCTGACTAACTATATATACTGATTCCTGTGAACTAAGCTACTACACTGCAAATGGTAATTTGTAATAGTAGTTTCATGCGTGGAGTGCCTGTCATTCCGGTCTTCAGAATATAGGCTGCTTGTCATGACATGCCAGTTGCTGGTATAATGTCTCTTGGGTAGATGGTTGCTCAAAAAGACGGGTGTGGTGAATGAAAGCAAGAGACAGGAAAAGGAATATTGTGGGACTGTCCTGCTTCAAGGTTGTATATGGTGAGATTTTTGGACTTATGTGCAAACATGAGAAGTCTATAATTCTTTATGACTATTTTAAAAATATATTCTTATTTTTAAATGTCTTTTATCATATTCTGTAGGGACTTAAAGTTCACCATATCAATACTGGAAGAAAAATTCCTGTTCCATATTATGCCTAAGATGTTTCATATGCAGACAGATAGTGCGGTGAAGATTAACAGCCTAAGTTGTATGGTAATAACAATATGCTTGTCTTCTGGATGGTTAACAACCCATGTTTGCAGACCAAAATTAGAGAAAAAGGAGGGCTGCAAGGAAAGCCAACAGTGTGGCCCTTGCCCTCCGAGGTCTTTTAAGTCTCAGGGCATATGAGTAATTGTACTGTAATGGCAGGTAACTTGGCAGTGCCCCAAATTTTCTGATGAAGGAGATTATGGGGCCAAAGAGGAAAGTGATCAATGATGTAGAATGTGCCTAAGGAAAGTCACATGGAGAGACAACATTCTCTCAGACTTTCACAGAGAGCACATTGCCCAAGAAATGGCCGTGACTCATTCACATGGCTGACACTGTCAAAGGTTCTACAGTCTGAGGTACAGGATCTCAGGATAAATCCTGAGGGAATTTCACTAACCTTATCAGACCCAAAAGCTACAACTCTTGTTGCATAGGTCCTGCTTTACCTTGGTCTTAACCATCCAGCAGAAAAGTATAAAAATGAAATATAAGAAGTAAAGCCATGCTGTTATGCTGATCTGTATGGGACTCAGGTCAACAATCTCTGACATTGCCAGTGAAGCGGAAGACCCAATACTATTATGGGCTACTGGACTCTTTTAGAATATTTTGCTGAATTTACACACTTATAATACTCAAATAATGGAACTTAACAAATAAAGGGTATACAGATGTATGTTCATTTTGTATCTGTGTATTCAAAGTGCTTAGGATAGATATATAGTTATATTCTCTTAATGAATAGAGTGATTTGTTCTAATGGTGTTTGTAAATAGAATATCATGTCCACATCTTGTACAGCAATTGATCACTAGGAAGAATGTATGCAATGTGTTACTTATTGAAACTGTCCTACCAGTTTGATTTGAAAGTGTCTCATTGCTATTTGTTTATCAATAAAATTATGAAATAATAAGCAATTTATCAGTTATTGAAACTGTCCTACTAATCAGTTTTGAAACTGTCTCATTGCTATTCGTTTCTCAAAATTACTTTAAAACATAAATAAAATAAATTTACAGAATTAAAAACTTCAGAAAAATAAATATATGTGAGTTGTAGAAAGAATAATGAGAAGAAAGATTTGTAGTAAAAGTGTTTAGCCAAGATATCACATCTGTCTTTTTTCTTCTGAATAGCTACTACAAAGACAATATAAAATGTATTAATTACTGTAACTGTCCTGCTAACATGTTTTGAAAATGTCTTATTGCTATTTCTTTCTGAATAAATTAAAAAAATAATGTGAGTTTCATTATTTCTTGTGGGAAAATTCACTTTTATTTTCAAGTTTATTGGATGCCATGCATAATTCTACAAATAATTATTCTCACATGTCAGTATTTTACTGTACTTACTTGAGATTAGTATTGTTGTAGGAAATGTATACAGAAGCAGGAGCACTGGTTTATGATAACTTACATTTCAATGAATAAAATGCATCTCCTATATTTGTCCATTTGTTTGTCTCTTTAAATTTATCATAAATTGTGCTGCTAAAACAAATCAATGCTCACATTCTATTGGAAAATTTCTTCCAAAATGTTTCTGGTTTAGGTTTCATGCTTTCCCTGCCTCTCACATTAACAGCTACTCACCTTATGGGGCAAAGCTGCATCAATCTCCTGTTGCAGTTTCTTCTGGATGTCAGGGTGAGTGGCCAATTCATACATAATGAAGGATAGAGTACTGCTAGTCGTCTCATAACCAGCAAAAAGAAACATAATTGATTGAGCTGTAATCTCTATATCAGATAGAGCTGAAAAGAGACAAAAGATTTTGGTTAGATCTTCCTAGTTTACATGAGGAGAGATCAATATGGAGCTGCCATAATGCTATGGAGGAACTTGGGAAAGCAAATTTGAGTCACACAGAAGTGGACCTTACTCTGATGTGTGTCTTATTATAAACCAGAAAAAGAAAAATAAATTTAATCTCCCTGTACAAGGTTAACTCTACTTTTTTTTTGTGGACCTGGGGATTGAACTAAGGCCCTTGTGATTGCCAAGCAAGTGCCTATTCTACTGAGCTATCTCCCTGGCATGGTTAACTCTACTCTTGGTCCTCTGCTCTCCATTATACCATCAGTTTAAATACCCAGCTAGGTAATTTCAAGACATGATATTTTCATCTAACACATGCAGTGATGCTATATACCCTGGAAAATCATAATGTAACTTCAAATAAAATATGAGATATTTCCTCTAGAAAAACGTTAAAATTCTTAGCAAAATATGGGTGGGAAATTTTCAAGGGAGCTTGTCATAAAAGCTTCACTCTATGTAAAAGTAAAAGATCTCAATCATGCATGGGATATTTTTGTTATACCATAGTAGGCTACAAAGAAACTCTTGCAGCATGTGTACTCTATGGGCCAGAATTTACCTGGGAGTTAATTAGAAATGTGGAAGCTAAAATTTCATCCTAGAACTAACAAAATAAATTGTGCACCTTTTAAAAATGTGTCGTTTTGTGCTACAACTTGATGAGACATGGGACAATGGAGTGCCACAGACAACAGCCTTAATGTTGGATTTTTGCATAGTTCAGGAAGATTTGCCTTATTCTAATGAATAAAATTGAAATAGTACATGATTTGGCAGGACCTGTATAAAAATATCAACCAATGGGTCAGCAGAATTTATTTGAAGTACAATCACTGGCTCTCTAATTTAATTTCATCCAACAGGTTTGTGGTAACACTATGGCCTCCCTTTTGATTTTATCATGATATAGGTCACAACCATCTTGTAACAGTCTATTTGTTCAATTTTTTTGTCCATTTCTGCACCTGGAAACATGCAAGAAATATGTTGTCACCCCTTTCATAGTTTTTACAATTAAAAAAATATAAAATATAAAATACATCTTTGAAAGGTTTACCCAGTTATGCTTTCTGCTTTGATGCCTACTCTGCTGCGATGGTAGGATAAAGCAAGATATCTAATATGTCCTCCTAGGTAGAACAAACCTGCATTACTGAATTGAAAATGGATTGTATAGTCAAAATTTTGTGCACTACTGCACACTGTGGTTGTATGCAATGATGTGGCTAATTAAATTCAAATAGAAATACATTAAAATAATATATTAGAATTCACTACATCATTGTCACCAATAAAGGTCAAAATTAGAGTTATCCAGCAACAATTTTGAATAATATAACAAGAATACTTCCTTCAGCAATAGTTTTGATAAAAAAGGGAAAAGAGAGACAGAGACAGAGAGATAAACAGAAAGGGAAACATACACTGAGACAAAGATAAACACACACATACAGAGAAAGATATATAGACAATTTAATGCAGAAAGACAGACAGACAATTTAATGCAATCCGAATGAAACTACCACCAACATACCTCACAGACCTAGAAAAATCATTCATAAAATTTATTTGGAACCAGGAAAGACCTAGAATAGCAAAGCACTCCTGGCCAACACAGAGAAGGCAGGGAGCATTACAATTCCTGACTTGAAATTATACTACAAGGCTATTGCAACAAATCAGCATGGTGCTAGCAACGAAATAAACCTGAGGATCAATGGAATAGATTGGAAGATGCTGAAACTTCTCTGAACAGACTCAGCTACCTTATGTTTGACAAAGGGACCAAACATACTCACTGGAAGAAGGATAACCTCTTTAACAAATGGTGCTGGAAAAACTGGGCCTCTATATGCAGAAATTAAAACTTGACACAGGTCTATCATCATGCACTAAGTTAAAGTCAAAATTGACTAAATATTAAAACAGAAACACTAAGTCTCCTGGAATGGAAAGTAGGAGGAACTCTTGAAGACATAGGGGTAGGCAAAGAGTTTAAGGACAAAAATCAAATCACACGGGTAATACTTGAAAGAATTAACAACTGGGACCTCCTGTTATTGAAAAGTTTTTTCATTTCAAAAGAAATTTCCAAAAAAGTGAAAAGACAGCAAACAAATTTGGAAAAAATCTTGATAAATAATTACTCAGACAAATTTTTGCTATCTAGAATTTATAAAGAACTAAAAAACACTAGGGCCCCAAAATTTAAAGACCCGTAAGCAATACGGAAACACTGAAACTAGTAAAATTCAGGAAATGATACCCATCGAGGAAAAACTTTATGTATGTAAACAATGTGGAAAAGCATTCAGGAGAAACACTCAATGTCAAAGTCATGAAAATACTCACAAAGGGAAGAAAGCTCATGGATGTAAACAGTGTGGGAAAGCTTTCACCAGATGCAGTTACTGTAAAATACATGAAAGAAATCACACTCTGGAGAAACCTTATGTGTGCAAGCACTGTGGGAGGGCATTCACTGTGCAACAGTCTTGTCAAATACAGGAAAGAACTCACTCTGGGGAGAAGCCTTATGTGTGTAAGCATTGTGGAAAAGCATTCACTATGAAGCATTATTACAAGCTACATGAAAACTTTCATGCAGGAGAGAAACTTCATGTGTGCAAGCACTGTGGGAAGGAATTCACTACCCATAAATCTTGTCAAATTCATGAAAGAATTCACACTGGGGAGAAACCTTATGTGTGCAAGCAGTGTGGAAAAGCATTCACTATATGGGGTAATTTTAAAAGACATGAAGGTACTCACAAAGGGGAGAAACCTTATGTATGTAAAGTGTGGAAAAGCATTCACACTGAGAAGTAATTGTAAAAGACATGAAAGAACTCATAATGAGGACAAACCTTATGTGTGCAAGCCCTGTGGGAAGGCATTCACCAGGCTTGAATCTTGTCAAATACATGAAAGAACTCACACTGGAGAGAAACCTTATATGTACAAGCAGTGTGGCAAGGCATTTACTACATACCAGTTTTGTCAAATACATGAAAGAACTCACACTGGGGAGAAACCTTATGTGTTCAAGCAATGTGGAAAGGCATTCAGTATAAATACTAATTGTAAAACTCATGAAAGAACTCACACTGGGGAAAAACCTTTTGTGTGCAAGCACTGTGGGAAGGCTTTCACTACACACAGATCTTGTCAAGTACATGAAAGAACACATACAGGGGAGAAACCGTATGTGTGTAAGCACTGTGGGAAAGCATTTACTACACATCCATCTTGTCAAATACATGAAAGCAGTCACACTGGTGAGAAACCTTATGTGTGCAAGCAATGTGGAAAAGCATTCACTACAAAGAATTCCTATAATAAACATGAAAGAACTCATACACGGGAGAGACTTTCTATGTGCAAACAATGTGGGAAGTCATTCACTACACAACAGTCTTGTCAGATTCATGAAAGAACACACACTGGTGAGAAACCTTATGTGTGCAAGCACTGTGGCAAGGCATTCACTAGACACAGATCTTGTCAAATACATGAAAAAAACTCACACTCTGGAGAAACCTTATGTGTATAAGCAATGTGGGAGGACATTTACTACGAAAAGATGCTGTCAAGAACATGCAAAAGTACATACTACGTAGAAACCATATGGAAGCAAGCAGTATGGAAAAGAATTCACTGTAAATTCAAGATATATATGTTAGGAAAGCAGTTACACTGGGGAGAATCATTAAATGTGCTGTCAATGTGAGAGGGCATTTACTACATACCAGTCTTGTCATGCATGTGAAATTAAACTTAGACAAACTTAAGTGGGCTATGTGGGAAAAGATTTGGCAGTAAGTCCTCAGTTTATATACGTAGATTGCACATTGGGGAAGATCCCTGTGTAGATAAACAATGAAGAAAGCATTCAATGGACTTTTTTTCATCAACCACGAGAAAAGATTCACTGGAAAATAACCCTGTAGATGTAAGCGTATTTGGAAAAACCTGTGAAAATTAATCATGTTTAATCACCTGTAGGAATATATGAAAAATTTGATGTCAATACTTGTTCATATACTTTTTAAAAATACAGTCCCAAATGGAGATATCCTCTAATATATTTTTTTCTGCTTTTCAGTAAATCATTTGTAAATAACTGAAAAAAAATTTAAAGACCCAGTCCTGAAATGGACATCTGAGATGAACATATGCTTCTCAGAGGATGAAATTAAAGAAGTGAATAAATATATGAAAAAATGCTCCACATCACTAGCCATTCGTGAAATGCAAATTAAAACAACATTGAGATATAGTCTCAGGCCAGAAAGAATGGCTATCATGAAGAAATAAAAAACCAACAAATGTTGGAGAGGTGCTGGGGAAAAAGGAACACTTCTCCACTGCTGGTGAGAATGTCGACTGGTGCAACAATTATGGAAACCAGTGTGGAGACTCCTTGAAAAACTAGGAATGGAAATCCCATTCAAACCAGCTATTCCCCAACTGGGAATTTTCCAGGACGATCTGAAAACATCATATCATAGTTATATATGTATGCCTATGTTTATAGCAGCACAATTTGTGATAGCCAAATCTTGGAAACAACCAAGATGCCCGTCACCTGAGGAATGGATGAAAAAGATGTGGTACTTTTATGCAATGGTCTATTACTCAGCTAAGAAGAATGTAAACTCGAAGCCTTCCTATGAAAGTTGTTGTCACTTAAAGATATACTCATATGTGAAATAAACCAGACCCACATATGTAAATATCATATAGTCTCCCTAGTATAAGAACTCAAAAGAAGAAATACAAATAGAAAGGTATAACATAATTAAAAGGAAAGCAAGAACTTGAGTACTAGACAATGAAGAGAGAGCAAGGAGAAGAGCTAGGAGACATGACAGAAGCAAGTCATACAGTTATATATACAAGATGGGTGAGGCAATGATGCTGAGAATCTTCA